ACCGTGAGTGAGCCCTAAGGTAAACTGTGGACTCTCGGTGACTATGATGCATAAATACAGGTTCATCAGTTGTAACAAACGCAGCACTCTTGTGGCGCTATAGTGAACGGTCATGCACTGCACTTTCTGTCAAATTTGCTGTGATCCTAAAACTGCTCTACTGACCCTAAAATTGTTTATTAAAAAACCAAAATATCAGTGGTTGCCACAGATTGGAAGTGGAGGGAATGTCTGCCTACGAAGGAGCACAGGGAAATTTTTTGGGTAACAAAACGGCTTCAAGTTGTAATCGGGGTAGTAGTTACATAGCTGTATGTATTTGTAAAAGAGCTGTACACAACAAGAGTGAGTTTTACTGCATTTTTAAAAATTTTGCTATAAATTAAACCTTATTTTAAGAGTTTTTAAATGTATTCAACAAAAGAATATGCAAATACAGAGAACAAATCTCTCTGAAAAAAAAAAAAAGGCGTGGAATCTGAACAAATACCAAAAATTATAATCCAATTAAAGTTTTATTATAAACTTTCCTGAACTTAAAAGAAAAAAATTTCAAGCTACCCATTCAAAGAACATACTGTACCTGAAAATATCAAGGTAGAAAAACCAACACCAACATCTATTCTAGTAAAATTACTGATTTTTACAGAAAAAACATCCTTTTGGCCATCTAGGCAGACAGCAAATAACTAATAGGGGAAAGAAAACTAGGCTGTCATCAAGCCTATAGCAAAACTGGAGTAACATACTTAAGATACTTCAGAGAATAATGTGACCCAAGGGTTTTACATTCAACCAAACTGACTTTCAAATATAATATAAAGGGCACAAGCTGTTGGCAACATGCAAGAAACTCAGAGAATATTGTTCCCATGAGCCCATTCTTAGGAAACAGCTAGAGAACAAGCTTCCAGAAAACCAAAATTGTCAGACAGACAAACTGGTGGGAGGCACTGAAAATACTGGGTTGTTGGATAAGTCATGATGTATATTGTCTATGTTTTCGTTGCAAAAATGCGTCATGAGGGCTGGCTGAGTGGCGAGTTGGTTAGAGTTCGCTTGGGACGCCAGCTCTGAGCAGCAGGGCCCCATTTCGGATCCCACATATGAGGGCCAGTGATGCTGCGCCCTCTACAGCTAAGATGGTGAACAACAGCTCCACCTGGAGCTGGGCTGCCATGAGTCGCCGGCGACAGCATAGGCTGCAGTGGGGCTGGCCAGCAGCTCGCGTGGGCTTTTGTGAGCTGCTGTGAGAGGCCATCCAATGGCCGGCGACCGATCTGCCTCACCTGGGAAGACCACAATGATAATACCAACATGGATGGGCCACTGAAGCCCCGTCCTCTGCAACTATACTGAAGAACAAAAGGACAGCAACTTGTCTGTTCCCCTCCCCCAATTCCCCAATAAAATCTTTAAACAAACGGGCCGGCCGAGTTCGCGCGTTGGTTAAGAGCTGGTTTGGGACGCCAGAGGGCCCCGGTTCGGATCCCACATATGAGGGCCAGTGACACTGCCCTCCACAGCTAAGATGCTGAACAACAGCTCAACCCGGAGCTGGGCTGCCGTGAGTCGCCGTCACGGCTGCAGCCCCTGTGGCAGTGGGTTGCCATGGGCTACCGTATGTAGCCAGCAGCTAGCGTGAGCGGCCAGCAGCCGCAGTGAGCGGCAGTCCAGAAGCCGGCGACCGATGTGCCTCGCCCGGGAAGAGCGCAATGATGGTGCCAGCTTGGGTCAGTGAAGCAACGTCCTCCACAACTAAACTGAAGACAGCAACTTGTCTGTTCCCCTTCCCCCCATTTCCCAGCTCTGTTCCCCTCCCCCAACTTCCCAATAAAAAAAATCTTTGAAAAAAAAAATCTTTAAACAAAGGAACAAAAACACCAATTGGCCACCCTCAAAAGACAATGGTTCATCCTGGAAATGAGCAAATAAAAGGAAAGAAACAAGCATTCTTTTCTGCCTTTCCTATGTAAATTGTAGATTGGGTAATGGATTAGTAAAGGAGGGAAAGTGTCTCTTTACAGATGAAAGCGGCTCTTTACAGACGCAGCTTACCTAATGGAAAAGAAATGACAGAATTAGACTATCACTATTTTGCAACCCTCAAAGAAGTAATGGGTCTAGGCACTGAATATCAGTAGAAAAGGCATCCACAGACTTATGAGTCTCCTGAAGCTAAAGCAGAATACGTCCTGCACAGCACCACCTTCAGTCCTGCCAAAGACCTTAAACCTGAGTGTGATCCAGCCTCTTCACAGCTGTCTGTGTGCAGGAAATGCTGAGGGGAAGAAACATGATTTACTGCATGAGTATCATCATTAATTAGCAAAGTACAGCAGGCAGGGAACCAACTGGGAAAACTCCAGGTTCAACAGATACAGTGTAAAAAAAAGAAAAGGATGAAGACATACGAAATAAAAAAGGGGGGGAAACGAAACCATAATGTTTGATATACTTATACATAATTTGGTGTTAAAACTCAAAGAAAACAAAGGAAATGACTACTATGAAAGTCAGGACAACGGTTATTTGTGGAGCAGGATGGTGCTGGGACTGCCTGTGGCACATGGAGGGGATTCTGAGTTAAGTGCAAAGCTTCTAATTCCTGACCTGGGTAGTGGTTACAAGGCTTCTGGCCTTATAATAATTCATTAACATATTTGTGTGGTTTTATGTTTCATTTTACAATAAAAAAGGCTTTCCTAAAAGTAAAGGATTAAGCAGCTTGGCTTATCTACTTACCTGCAGATGACACAAGGAACTGAGCATCCATTCCCCTGGACTACAGAGCATAGGAGATAACTGTGGGTCCAGGATCAATGACCTCAGACCCCTAGAACTTTGTATCACAACGTCTTAAGGAACTGATGCTACAGCATATACAGGAAATAACGGTCGCAGCATGAAATGATTCGGCCACAACAATCTCTACACATAGGAGCTTATGGATTAAAGACTGAGACAATGAAGGGACCTTCCCAATGGAGGCTTTGTTAACTGCAATGTCCTGTTGGAGAGACGGAGTCAACAACAGTCTCTCCTCCTCTACTTGGTAGACATCAGACTATTTGTTAAGAACATTGCTTTACAGGAACCTCCGCTCTTCCTTCCCACCTTGTATACAGATTGGTTCCCAAAGTTCAGAGTAAGCAGAGAAGAAACAGTGACTACAAATCTCATTGGTGTAAGTAAGTATTTTCTAGCTTATCCTGATGTTGTAAGAAAGGGGAAACTTCTCTACAATCAAAGAATTTGTAATTCAAAAACTGCTAGAAAAGAGAAAAATATAGTTAAATACCAGTCCTGCAGAACTTAAAAGGGCAAAGTGGGAAGGACTGCCTGTGCTGTGAAGGTAACTGGTAAATGAGAGCATATTTCTCTTTGGGCTCCCCTGACCCTGGAAGTCAAACGTGACAGGAAAAGGGAAAGAAAAGAGAAAATCCACTCACTACCACCCCTACTTTATGAAACTGAGCTCAGCTTAACTAAGGCCAGCACTCTAAAACTCCAGAGAGGGAAACAGGGGAGACCCCTGCGGGAAGCAGCCTCTGGTAAGGCTGCAGGGCAGTGAGTTTAGGGTTACTCGCTCATTAGGTTAACCAGAAAGTTTGAGCAGACAGGGCAGGAATACTATTTTTATTATTTCCTTTTTGCTTCCTGTATAGCACTTTTCTACTAAACCTGGCAGTTATATTTTGTCTACTAATTATTTTTGTTTTTTGTTTTTGTTTTTAAAGATTTTATTGGGGAATTGGGGGACGGGAATAGCATTGGGGAATTGGGGAAGGGGAACAGACAAGTTGCTGTCCTTTGGTTCTTCAGTCTAGTTGTGGAGGACGTCGCTTCACTGGCCCATGTTGGTATTATCATTGCACTCTTCCCGGGTGAGATAGTCGCTTGCCGGCCACTGGACGGCCGCTCACAGCGGCTCACAGCAGCTCACGAAACCTCACACCAGCTGCCGGCCAGCCCCACTGGCCCTTATGTAGGATCTGAACTGGGGCCCTGATGCTCACTCAGAACTGGCGTCCCAAGCCAACTGTTAACCAACCCGCCACTCGGCCGGCCCTCTACTAGTTATTTATACTGGTAGACTCCCTTCTTCTCACTCCCGAATATGCCGAAAGCTCCAGGATGACAGGGACTGTGCCTTTCATTTATACATCTTCCATACGTGTACCACAGCAGCTGGCAAAATGTTTTACACATAGCACACGCTCAGTATGCTTGCTCCATTACATTAAAAATCAATCAAGAGCAGAAGGAAGAGAAAATTTGCTCTGCATTATTTCAGGAAGGCATGGGGAGGCATATTAGGCCAACAAAACACCAAACTTCTTTACCACTGGCTGCCTTCTGAAGTAATAATGTCCCTTTAACACCACCTTTGAAGTATTAATAAAAGGCTGCAGGCCCACTGGCAGGGATGTTGGGGCTATCCTCTGTGTATCTGGGGGTCATACATACTTTGAAAAATGGCTAGACTGCATTAACGGTAGGAGGGAACTTTGATAGCTGTTTCAAACTCATTAAGATTTTGTGTTTCTGAATAAGGCTGTCCTCAGAGATTCAGACTGAAAAAAAGCTAATGAAGAAAGTACGGAGAAACAGATCTATCCCAGAACTTATACCAGAATGAGAATGTCCCACCCCAACAGAAATCTATAATTTGATAATGCCAAAGCTCAATCCTACTTTATCAGAGAATTAAGTACCAGAACAAATCTTTGCACACTAGGCACTTCACATATTTATTTCCATTTCATCCTTGACAGTGTTATTCCCATTTTATAAAAGGACACTGATACTGAGAGCATAAGCAATGAATGGGTTTTGAACTTTGACTCAAACTACGTTCTTTCCACTGCTTCCTGCTTCTAAGATAAATTAGCATTGGTAAAATACAACACTGCTTCTTTTGTGTGCTGGCACTAGAAAACTTAAGTTTCTACCTTATCTTAATGTCTATCCCATAAATTCATGCTTGCATGTCTTACCACTTATTTCAAGCTCTGCCCAATGTGATTTCTTTCCACTTGCTGCTTCCTCAGAGGACATAATTGTGTACATCCTCCGAGGGTCAGGGGACTCGTATTTTTCTTTGGGCATGCCTATTGAAATAAGAAAAGAAACCAATCAGTATTATGAAGAATCAAATAACTGAAAATAACATCTTTTTAAAAAGTAGACACCCATATTATGATCTCTAAATACTATAGCCCACTAAAACGAGCTAGAAGCTCCTTGGAGAAATGGAGGATTGAACAGCTTGTTAAAAAACATTTCTGAGAATCAGACAAATTTGAAAATAAGGGACTATTTTGTTCATTTCTCTTGTGGTTTTCTTTAAATCCTTATCTTATAAACACATTCTGAAATACTGAGGTGAATGAAACTTCACTCTCTTGTATATTTCCCCAAACTTCTTGCACCGGTCTCACTTCACCATATTGGTTTGCATGAACCATAACCCACTTTAACCAACTCTCCATCTACTCTGAATATCCACAAAGCTAAACTAAACATAGCTGGAGAAAAACCTACTACCATGTGAATTTAAAGTGGGCCATCAGCAACCACTTATTTCAGATGGACTCTTTTCGCTCACCAGAAATTATACTCGAAAGTCTCCTAGTCCTTTCTTCTATATGACTTCTCTCTTCAAATCTCTAACACCCATTCCTCTATCTTTGCTCTCTTCTATTTTCTTGTGAAAACAGAAAGCAGAAGAGGCCTTTCTATGAACTCTGACCTACGCACATCTACACTCTTACTAGGGACAAAGGGCCTGCCCTCTTGGCACTCAATTCAATCCAGTGACCTTGCCTATTCAAGGACATTACTCGGCAATTCTCTCCAACATCAACATTTCGCTCCACACTGGACCTTTACCTTCAGTATATATTACATGGTATTATTTCCTCTATTAAGAAAAAAGTCTTGACCCCATTTCCCCCTCCATTTACCACACTTTTTTCTCTCATTCTCTTTACAAGCAAGAAATCCTCAGAAGAGCTGTCTGCTGTCTCCTAGTCCTCTTCTCCCAGTTAAACCCACTCAAATCAGTATATGCTTTTAATATTCCACCAAAAACTGTCAAGAAGAAAACCAGTGACCTCACATTGTTATATGAGGTCACTTCTCAGACGTCCTTTTACATGTCCTATGGTCAACACTTGATGCAGGTGACCACTCCCTCCTGGACACACTTATTTCACTTGGCTTCCAGGATACCTTTTCTCTTGGGTTTCCTCTTAATATCTCTAGATTTAGTCTTTTGCTAGTTCTTCTGGCAGAGTTGGAATTCACTCCATTTTACCAAGAGAAACCTGAAGGCCAAGAAGGTTTAACCAGTGTTACAAAGCCGGGAAGCAGCAGAATCAGGCTTTGAATATGTCTTATTAAAAGTTAAAGCTACTTTTAAGTGAAATAAGCCAATAACAAAAAGACAAAAACTGTATGATTCCACTTATATGAGGTACTCAGAACAGTCAAAAGCATAGAGACACAAAGTAGAATGCAGGTTGCCAGGGACTGGGGGAGGGAGATGGGGAGTTAGTGATGATTGAGTAAAGAGTTTCGGTTTTACAAGAAAAGTAAGAGGTGGACGGTGGTGATGATTGCACAACATTGTGAGTGGACTTAATAACATTGAACACTACACTCAAACATGGCTAAGACGGTAAGTTTTATGTTATGTATAGTTTTCTCACAACAACAACAAAAAACTGGAAAAACATTAAAGTTACTTTCTTTATGCTATGCTGCCTCCCTACTGATGATGGGAAGTAGAGTTATTTTTCTAACACAGAAATGGGCTTTGACCGTGCAGTCAAAACACAGGAGGTAAGTCATCCTAAAAAGCCTCTTGAAAAAAAAATACAAATGGTGAGAATCATCATCTGCACAAGAAATACATCTATTTTTTATTTTGTTAAATACTGATTAAAAAACTGCCCTCTTGTGCTAATTTTTTCAGAACACAAATACAACTGAAGTTTATAGACCAATACAAAATACCTAACATGGAGAGTTATACAGTCAAGAACTGTTCCTGTTCTGTCTAGAAGACAATCTGGCAAAGCATGTGTCCATTCCAAACGATATGAACACACCAGTAACAATCTAGCGAATATAAAATGCTGTGTAAGGCTACCAGACACTTTGATAACATCCTTTAGGATCACCCAAATGCCATTATTCTGACCAGGTTCTACTTAGAAAACCACCGGATCCTCACTGGCTTTCCCGAATAGAATTTAATAATGGTAAGAAATCACTCTGTCCAGCTGAGATTAGTATTCCAGTCCTATTAATTATTAATTAGTTTGACTTCTTAGTGAAAGTTCACAAATCTGATTTACTAATCTCATGTGAGCTTAGTTAGGGTGAATCAATATCCAGAGTTTGATCACACCTCAGAGAATCAGTAACGGTGTTACCGAACTAAGAAATCTGAAAACCCGGTCCCGGACCTGGGGTCATTCCATCCAAGGGTCAGGATTTTGCCTTGGCAGCCAGCTACTCCCTTTCTTCATTTTTCAGAGCATGAGCTGGGCTGTCTTAAAATTTAAGAGATAGGTCGTTGTTCTAAACTCAAGAGCAGTGAGATCTTCTCTATTTCCCAAAACTCTGAGAATGGGGGGAAGGGACAAAGGGGGAGGGGGATGATAGAATAAAAGAAATGGTAACCACCTGGACAGTCAAGCTCTTTAGAGGAACAGGAGCACAGCCCCACCCTTTTTCTGGAACTCTGACAAAACATAGCATTAGAGACTACATAGAGAAAAGGATTTAAGAATACACACAATTTAGAATTTTTCCCAAAGCTTTGAAATCAACAAAGCAGATCTTACTCTCTAAAAAAATAAAGCCTAAGAACTCATCCACACCGTAAGTGAACAAAAAGCAAGTGGAAGTGAACAAAAAGCAAGTCAACACAGAGCAGCCAATGTCGAACACAAGTTTCTCTCTTTCACACACACACACACACACACACACACACACACACACACACACAGAGTGACTATACAAAAAAGAAAACAATAAACAAAAAAGGCTTCTGATGCTTAAAGCAGTTAAAATGAAACTCATAAACCAAAACTACAAATGAAGAAGTATGGGACAAGACAAATTGAGAAAAGGTACAGTGTAGACCAAATAGGAAGAAAAAAGAGTATTTGAAATTAGAATCTCTAAAATACCAGTGAGGCAAAAAAGGCAAGTCACAGAAGAATGCACACACGTAATTCCTACTAACACAAAAGGCAAAAATAGGCAAAATCAAACAAACATGTTTTCATGGAAAGAAAAAAGCAAAGCAAATGACTAACACACTAAGACAGTAACAACTACCTACCCTGTAACTCAGCGAATCTACCATTTGGTATCCATCCAAGAGAAATAACAACGTATGTCCACAATAAGGCATTTATATAAAACAACCCAAATGTCCATCAACAGGGAAAGGATAATCAAATTGTGATTTAACCACATAACTGACTACTGCTTAACAATAAGAATGAACTACTGATACATACACACATATATACATGAATCTCAAACATTACGCTGAATGAAAAAGGCCCCAAAGAGGTTCCATTTACATGAGCTGTAGTGGTAGCTCCCCTTATGGGGAATGATGAACATATTTAACATCTTAAATGAGGTGTGGTTTATATATTGATATATAGTCATCAAAACTCAAACTGTACATTTGGGGTCCATGCATTCTATTTTATGTAAATTTTACCTCAACCAAAAGATACTCTATACTCAAACACCTGGTCAAGTGTGAAGAGCAACAAAATGGCATTTTCAGACAAGCAATTACTAAGGAAACATACAACCCATGTACTTTTTCTATATAATTACTCATTTTGCATTATTTATGACCAAAAATGCAAACAACCTAAATGACTATCAATAAGAACACACAGTTAGGGTACATCAGTTACTGTACAGCCACACTGTGGAAAATCATGCTGTTGTGAAAAGAATGTTAAATAAACTATTTGGTACTCTATTGGATTACTTCATATTGCAGGATTAAGCAAATAAGTACTTATGTTAATGATGTTAGGAACCAAGATTTTCAGGGTAAGAAAATACTTCTAAACCAAGGAAATTAAATGAAAGCACCAATACTAAAACTGGCTTGAGAATATCAATATAAACTCAAGATTTTTGGTTCTAAGTACGTAGCCACTGAAGTGTTGTTCTAGAAGCAATGTTACCTCTGGAATAACAGCAATCCTAATCCTTGACTTGGATCTCTTAATACCAAGAAAGTAAAGTTCTTTACAAAATGACCAATTACAAGCCTGGGGCAGGAATTGTATAAAATGAGCCTGGGACATCCTTTAGTGCCAAAAAGCTAAGTCTACAGGGGCAACATGATGCAACACCATCCAGCTAGAAGGGGTCCTCACTGGCCAAAGCTGTGGCAATTTCAACAAAAAGAATCATAATTATAATGGAATGAAATACACCGTAAAATTTTAGGGATAACGTGATCATTATCTAGAGCTGCAGAAAACAGAGCTGGCAGTGATCTAAAAGATGGATTGGCAGCAGAGGAAACTATTGCAGTAATCAAGGGAAGAAGAAAGCAAGAGTGGGGAGGAGGAGGGAAATGGTGGAGGGGAGGGATGAGGGGGAGGGAGGACAGAGGGGAGAGGGGAAGGGAAGACCATGGGCGCCAATCAGCCACCAACTGTGGTAGCTACTAAACTAGGAAAATTGGTAACTAAAGAGAAAGCTTTGGGCCGGCTGAGTGGCGCAATGGTTAAGAACTGGCTTGGGACGCCAAAGGGCCCCGGTTCAGATCCCACATATGAGGGCCAGTGACACTGCCCTCCACAGCTAAGATGCTGAACAACAGCTCAACCTGGAGCTGGGATGCTGTGAGTCGCCGGCCACGGCGTAGCCTGTGGCAGTGGGTTGCCATGGGCTACTGTATGTAACCAGCAGCCAGCATGAGCGGCCAGCAGCCGCAGTGAGCGGCCGTCCAGAAGCCAGCGACTGATCTGCCTCGCCCTGGAAGAGAGCAATGATGGTGCCAACTTGGGTCAGTGAAGCAACGTCCTCCACAACTAGACTGAAGAACAAAAGGACAGCAACTTGTCTGTTCCCCTTCCCCCAATTCCCTAGCACTGTTCCCATCCCCCAAATTCCCCAATAAAAATCTTTAAAAAAAAAAAAAAGAGAAAGCTTTAAGTGTTTATCCTTAAACTGCATTTCACAGTAATCAAACAGCCCCAGTTGAAGGAAAAGTCCTACCTTACAAAAGAGTGACAGCTAATAAATGAAGAATGATAGAATTAAAAAAAAAATTAACATCATTTTGTAATTCCCAATGACCCCCTTTTAAGTAAGGATTACAAACTGAGTTCAGACCATTAGATGAATCATTAGCACTGGCTAATGCTAAGGCAACACTACCATCCAGATGGTTTTCTGACCAGAAGGCAGAAAGTTGTTCAAGGGAAAAATTGTTACCTTCTTCATCAATCTTCGCGACTATCCAGGTGTCTCTTGATGTGAGGGAGTATGAAGTACCCATCAGCAACATTACTTTGATTAAGAACCAGAGGAACTGACCCGATGACACCAAAGAAACAATCAGACAAAATGAGAATGCAAGCCTTTCTGCAGGAAACTGGCCTGCTGCCTTCAACAAGCTAGCGTCTGGAATGGTCCCTATATATGGGATCCACAAATCAGCAATAAAGGACATTTTCTGGACAACTGGAGAAACATTTAATACTTAGCTCATATTTACGATATTAATGAATAATTATGCAATCATATTATTTTGGCCATGTACAAAAATGTTTCTTGTTAAAAGACACTCTGAAGTTAAATAATTTATTTTAATTCTATCGGCCAGGTTTTTTTCAAGGGAAATAAGGTTGAGTCACAGCCAATTATTAGCTGATATCAGTTGATCAGATAAATTGCTAAATTAAACATTTCTCTTTTCCTTTACATGCTTTTCACATTTTCTCCTCAGTTCTTTGTGCTTTACTTCTTTCCCAAACATAAAAAGAAGGGGGCAGAGGAAAGGAAAGGAGGAGGAAGGGAGGGAAGCAAAATCCACGTGCAGAAAGACCCTTTCATTTGATTGACCAGGCTGCTCTCAGAGAGGCAAGTCCGGGCATGTATGAAAATGCAGTGACTCTAACCTTGGTGCCAATTTACTTCTCCCAAATCCAATTTTTCATTAGGTCTTATCCAATTTTTCACTGAATCTGACCGATTTTTTATGTCTTCAGGATTTCTAACCCATCTTCTCCATTTTCAAAGTGACTTAAATTAATTTAGACCCTCTTCATTTCCAGGTTCAACTATTAAACCATTTCCTCTACATCTATCTTCCTTATCAATGACGCTCTCCTGCCTAAAAACCCTAAGATGGTCCTTCCTGTCTACCTACGGAAAGTCCAAAATTCAAAGTCCTTTACAGTTTGCACTTACTCCTCTCCAGCTACCCTATAAAGTCCTAAATTAATTAGTGCAAACCTATTTCTAAGACATAGACTTTCAATATGTGCTAATCCCTTCACCAAAGACAACCTTCACTCTAAATTCCTCCTGGCCCTTCAAGGCAACTCAGGTCATCCGTGAGAGCCCTCCAAAGCCACAACAAGCTCACCACTCCCTCTTCTGCACAGAAGACACTTACTACAGCATCTATCTCCCCAAACAGTCTATCTCCCAATGTCTTGTGTAAGGCTTCGCACATTACACTAACGAACGTGTCTAAACATTTTTTTCCTTCCTGAACGAGAACCAGATTTCCATAGAAAAAAACGCAAGAAAAATCCAAAAGCAATTCCCTACATCTGAAACATGCTTCCTTGGCTCCCTTGGAATATAGTCCCTACGTATTTTTTTATAGCCTCAATGCAGTCAAGGTATTTGTACATCTCACTTCAAACCCAAATCATCCTGACTCTCAATGTCATCACGTTTTTTTCTTTCTATCCAGCTTTCCACCATGAATGGCCAGTTAAAAACTTCATTTAGGAGCTGTTCTTAGTGGCAAAATGTCTATCACTAGTGCCCTTGTGGCAAAATAAGCAAGTATAAAAACCCCTGCAAAAGATAACTGACTACTCTTATCTAAAAAGCAAAACTTGAATCCTAACTGTGGATTTTAAAGCTACTATTACAATAGCTAATGATACAATGGCAGGTATGTTACAACTCATTACAATCTCTCAAAGCAAGGTATTTGAACTGCACAAGAGGGATACAAAAAAAAAGCTAGTGAAAGAAACAAGGTATCAAAACGATTTTACTAAAAAGTGAAAGTGTCATCTTGGTCTTCAAACCTGCCCCTCCCCCTGTGATCTCCATCCCCGTTTCCCAGGGCAGAAATCTAAGTATTGTCCTTGACTCTCCCATCTAATCACAGCCTTCACACATCCAGTCTCTAGTTATAGCCCATTTTACATCCCAAATCTCTCTCTCGCCCACTTCGCCTTCATTCCCTGGGCTCCTACCTGAGCTACTCCGACAGTCTCAGATCCATGTTCTCGCTTCTCCTCTCCCCCACTGGAAAGCATCCTAGATTCTATCCAAAGTGATCTCCTAAAAACACAGCTATTTACCCCTCATGGAACTAAAAAACCCAAAACCCCTTCACCTTTGTACCCTTGAAATCTAACACTGCAGCTGACACAAAAGCTCAAACGTGGGAACTGAACAGAGGAAACCCGGGCTCATTTACAAAACAAGTAAGGTGTATTTATAACCTGGCCCTTTGTGCCTCTGTAGTCTCAACATCTGGTCTCCTGGGTTCCCCTCACCCTCGCAAACCTCAGTGCTTTAGTGTAACACCACTGCTTCTGCCTGAAATGTCCTACCTCTCCCTCTCCTCAAAACCTTAGGGACCCCAGTCATCCTTCAAATACCAATTCAAATATCCAACTTCATCAGAAAGGTCTTTGCTTCCCTATCCCTCCCAACACAGGAGTTTATCTTTCCCTGCTTTGAGTTATTCTGAACCTTAAGAGATAATTTCTACTGTTCTACTCTTTAACCCCACCTTAATTTTTTTTTAAAAGATTTTATTGGGGAATTGAAGGAGGGGAACAGCGCTGGGGAATCGGGGAAGGGGAACAGACAAGTTGCTGTCCTTTTGTTCTTCAGTCTAGTTGTGGAGTACGTTGCTTCACTGGCCCATGTTGGTATTGTGATCATTGCACTCTTCCTGGGTGAGGCAGATGGGTTGCCGGCCTCTGGACGGCCGCTCACGGCGGCTCTTGGCAGCTCACACCGGCTGCCGGCTGCTCACGCCGGCTGCCAGCCACTCACAGTAGCTTATGGCAACACACTGCAGCAGGGGCTGCAGCCTACGCCGTCGCCGGTGACTCACAGCAGCCCAGCTCCAGGTCGAGCCGTTGTTCACCATCTTAGCTGTAGAGTGTGCAGCGTCACTGGCCCTCATATGTGGGATCCGAACTGGGGCCCTGCTGCTCAGAGCTGGCGTCCCAAGCCAGCTCTTAACCAACGTGCCACTCGGACGGCCTGCACCTTATTTTTTATACAGACCTCACCTACTCTAATATACACACCTTGCACTTCTATCTTAAATATTTTTATATCTTCAGAGCTTGGCAAATAGCAAGTATTCAGTGAATAGTTATAACAATTCAAGGACAGAAGTTGTGATAGTAAAAAAAAAAAGTAATCATTTTGTAGGAGACAAGTGTACTAACAAAAGCAGTGCCTGTCATACCAGGAATAAAAACTAATATCTAGGTTTCTAATCTTGAAGGCAACATCTAGAGGAATTCAACAGAAAGGACCTTAGTGATGAAAGATTAAGAATGTTAGTCTTAGGATAGCCTAGGATATGAAACAAGGGGACAAACTTAAAAGTTAAACTATATCAATGTAATCTCAGTGACATGCTATGGCAAAATAACAGCAACCCTCAAACAGATGAGGGTAACCAAGGCTGTGCCCTAGGCATGTCACAGCGCCATGACAAGAGAGCACCGAGCACCTGGCAGGCCTATCAGGCCCTTCACAGGCATTACCTCATTTTAACCCTAGGACTCCTGCAATTAAATACTATTATTCTCCTTATAGAAATAGAGACATTCAGAGAATGAGTAATTTGCCTGAAGTCACAGAGATACTAGCGTCACAACTGTGATTTTAACCCAAATCTAATCCAAGTGTGCTTTCAACCACAATGCAATAATTTACCTGATTATCTCAATTTAATTCTCATAGCAACCCATGAGGTAGATGCTATCCTCATTTTATTTCAGATGGGGAAACTGGGACCTAGTTAAGTAGGGGAGCTGGGATTTGAACGTGGGACAACCTAGCTACAAAGCTGTAGTCTACTATATACATCACTGCCTCACACAACCCTCTAGAATTCTGTTATTGATAAAACCAAGATTTCATGTTCATTCTCCGAATATTAAGCTGCTGAGTCCACGAGCCCTCGTCTCCCCCTGAAATGTATCATCTTTCCCAAGCTGCTCTCCACCTGTACTCTCCCAAACTCTGCCTAATCCTCTAAAAAAGCCAACCTCAAACTATCATCTCAGGGCCCTTACACACCCTTAAAAATTAACGAGCACCTCAAAGAGCTTTCACTTCTATGGGTTATCTCTATCGCTATCATAGTAGAAATTAGAAATAAGAAATTTAAAAATATTTGTTAACCCATTAAATAGGCCTATTACATGTTAAACATTTTTATGAAAAGTAACTATTTTGAAAAGCAAAGTAAAATTTTGTGAGCAGAGTGACACTGTCTTACCTTTTTGCAAATCTCTTTAATGTCTGACAGACTAGAAGACAGCTGTATTTGCATATCTGCTCTGAATTCATTCTGGTCAGATACCACACACTGTTAGTCTCTAGAAAACTACTGTACACTCATAAGAGAATAAGAATGAAAAAGGCAAATAACATCTTAGTAATATTTCTAAGAACTTAAGATTTCTTAAGGCAGCCACTTGCCCCTCCCACCCAAAATCTCATACACAATTTCCTTAAATCCTTTTTTCAAGTAGTACAAAAATAAATTTCAGTCCAAATTGGTTTAACTAAATTTCAATCAGTAAGACCTCTGCAAAAACAGATTTTTAGATTATAGTAAAATATTCCTCCAAACACAGAGCTAAACAGCAGATGTAGCAGGCAACGCAAGCTCTAAAAGGGAAAGTTTGGCACACCCATCTGCACCCACAATGCCCAGCCTGGAACGGACAGCCCCTAACAGCTTTTTAGACTGCTGTTCAATGCAGTTCCTACCATGTGCATGCACCCAATGACATGAGTATATAAAACACAGTGGGAAGCAAGCACACGGTGTACTGCAACAACCACAATTCTAAGGGTCCACAATGCTCAATTTTAATTCAACCCAGTAACTCAAAACACAACCATGAAGGTACACACCAAGTATAGGTCATCCACAAATTCCACATCAAAATAAATACAATTAGCTTAGAAATTTTAACTTCTATATTTTAAGTCAAATATAAAGTATAGAGCAATAAAATATAGACAAACAAGATTTGTGATAGAATCAGCAAGAGCTGAGTGCCCACTAACATGCAGGATAT